TTTTAAATGAGAAGCCATAGTGCGTTTTTTGTGCGCATTTGCTTTATAATGCTTTTATTCTTGTGTCAATAAATCTGTTTTGGAAGAAATGTTACCATTTAGGCTTGACTGTTTGGCATATCAAAGACCATTTTACACCAAACCAATAATAGTAAACTGTTGTTGAAAAGTATTGAAATGTTGAGATTCTAATTTCGTAAATATCATTAACGGCTCTTTGGCACCATTAACATGTTGATAATTATTCAACAACAGATTATTTAACCTCAGACAACTGATATTTTTTCAGATTTATTGAAATGTAAACAAATACAAAAGTTATCGAAATCAGAGCTGGGTTATTGAAGGTAAAAATCACACTCTGTAAAGTGTCACTTCATTCATCTAAGACTTTTCTAATTTAGCAGTATTCCAAATACTTGTCTCTACTTCTCATCTACATTTTGAATGTTTAATAAAACAACTGCAAAGTCATAGTGTAAATTTAAACCATATTACAGGTTATTAAAGAATTATTAACTATGTGTTAAATATTGATGTCTACTTTATTGCTTTTTTTGTTAAATATGTGTTATGTCACTCAGAGTTGATGCAACCATAAAGAACTGCAAGATGAAATAGCAATAGCTTACAAAAATATTAAAGGACACAGAATTAGATTTTTAAAAAAATTTTTTTTTAGAGGATTTGTGCTCAAAAAGCAGGGTCTTAAATGACATTTTTAGTTCTTCTAAAGAAATGACAAATTAGTTTAAAGAATATGTCATTGAATTTGGTGTGCACTTCCATTAATAAGGTTGAGGTGTACTTATACTGTTGAAAGTGGAAATAACATAAGACATACAACAATACGTAAATATAATCCTTTAAATTGTAAGCTAATGGGCTATCTAGCTATGTACTTTGTATAAAAGAGCTTAAATCGCTGGATCTCAGTTTACGGGCAGGGCCCTCTCTGCCTTTTGTATTTGTGTATATTGTATGTTCTCCACTAATTGTACAGTGCTGCAGAATCTGTTGGCGCTTTATAAATACCAGTAATAATAATAATAATGTGTCAAGTAGCCTTTTGCCTACTAGCCTAATGGTTACAGAAAATCAACGATTTTTGCTAGGCCAATTCTAAGTTGTCAACTTATTATTGGAACACAAATTAAAGAACTTGTGTTTTGTGATGATGACTGGTTTTATTTTGGCAATTTTGTATTCGTAAATGATATTCGTAAAAAGAGATGCAGCGGGCATCATAGTGAGTTAAAAAAAGGTAATTTTTAAGAAATTAAAGAAATACTTTAGCAGGCAATTTGGAACCGTGAGAAAAACAAATCTTTCACACATATCTAGTTTGTAGCATCTGTTACCAATCACAAATGCACATAACAGTGCCATAACAGCAGCCAAAGTTATTTTTAATTTTAAAAAAATATTATTTTTAAAAAAAAAAATGAAAAGAATGAGTGAGTGGTTCTTTAATTGCCCACTCACTTTTTCCTTTAATGTTTTGAAAAATGCTACCATTTTAAATGTTATATTTTCCCGCTGCAATAGCAGTTCCCCATTTTGTCAAATACCTTTCACTGTCATGGTTTTGCCCTGCCTGACTGAGTGTTGCACTGCCTGCTACCTTCATAGATGCATTTGGGAGGGGCTCTTGTTTTTGATAGGACTGATGGCAGAGTATTTCCACGGTAACTTGAGTTCTGACTAAATTGTTTGAATAAAGTTATACTTTTCTATAGTTGTCTAATAACTTGGGAGAGATTTCATCGGATTAGTCAATGTCAGCAGAAGATCATCTGTGAGTAATGAAACTGTCAGATCTCTGATACAGGTCAGGATCCCTCTGATATTGGGCTCATTTTTAATCTTTGATATTAATTGTTCTATTGACAATATAAAGCTTGGCGGGGATAATGGACTCCCTTGCCGAGTACCATTTGGGACAAAAGATTTTGCAGAGGTTTGGGTGTAGAGATCCAAGATTGCCCTCAGAATGTAGGGAGGGAAGCCAAATTTGATAAGGACAGTTGAGGTACAACCAGTTGATCTTATCAAATGCTTTCTTGGCATCAAGGAACACAAAGAGGCATGGGATGTTTTGTTTGAATATTTCTAAAAGATCAAAGGAGCATCTTGTGTTATCTGAAACTTGACGAATGGCACAAATCCCGAATGTTCTGAGGGATTTACGCGAGGAGACATTTATTAAGATCTTAACACATTATTTTGTATCTGCGTTGAACAGCTACATAGGCCTGCGGTTGGCACAAGTGGTGGACGGTGTTCCTGTTTTTGGTAAAGTAATGATGTGCTAAGCTAACATTTCTGCATGGATATTGCCTGTGTCTATAATATTATTGAAGTAGTTAAGTGTAGGATTAGTAAGTTGGAGAACATTGAGTAGTATAGGACAAAGATATTAACCCAATCCATGTTGGTAAAATGCCTATTTACTCAGTATAACTACAATCAGCATTATTCAACTTTATATGTGATTTACCTAAACATGCTAGGGAGTTTCCCCTTGACATTGACTAACACCCTCATTAACAAGATGGCGCTGGAATCTGGGGGAGACTTCCAAGATACCAGTGACATCACACCCGGTAGGAAGAGCAATAAAATGGACCACTTAACACCTAACCAATAATTGATGTATTATTCCATGTTATCTGTGACAATGCATATGATGTAATTTTGCTTTATAAGGGACATGCCGTCCCCTCAGAATAAACATTCCTCAAGTTTTTCATTAACCCGAAACCTGTGTCTGATGTGAATTACTTTAGGAGCGTGCACGCATTACTTCTTAATTTGGCCGGGGGCAAATACGCAAGATAATCTATTAATAATTGATTCCACATCATTTGGCGCCCAAAGTGAGGCACCAGTTCTCGCTGGTTTGGACGGCTGGAAAACGGGACCGGAGGGGACCTCCGGAAAGTGGGACAACCGGAGCCTGATCACCTCCTAAATACAGCAGTTTGCCTGTATTCTCCTGTTTTGTGTCGGTCTATCTCCGTGTCCACTTCTGGCTTCCAGAAGGCTACAAGACAGGTAATCTCGTATCCTGTGCCTTTTAAAACTAACCTGTCGATTGTATATCTGCCTCCTGAGTGTATGTATGCGTGTGAGACAGCTGGTGTGTGGTTTATGCTTTATTATCATTATAGCTTGACTGCCTAGCGGGTGTGTGTGTTGTGTGGCTTGTTGTGCGCATCTCTACATCTTTGACTCCTGTAAGTGTCTTCTGCTTAGTCTCTCCACGTTCACCTTTTCCCTTATTCTCTACCTCTCCTGTGCTTGTTGCCCAGAGCTGTGTTAGTCACCCACGCTCGCCCGCTCAGATCCGTGGCCACCATCTTGGGTGGGCGGATCCTGTAACTAGTCTACGTTTAGGGAAGACGCGCGGAGATCAATTCCTCGTGGCAGTCGAGCACTGTAGACATTCCTTCTTTTCTCTCTCTCTCTCTCTCTGTCCCTCTTACAGGGAAAGCCTTGTTTGGTAAAAATGGGACAAGAATACGCCAGACCTTCCAAAGGCTATTTAGCTTGTGATATTGTAAAGGAGAGAGCAGGAGAAGAGGCTTTGTTAAAAATAAAGAAGATAGCAAACCTTTGTGGTTTTCAAATGTCACCCAGTGGTAGATTACAGCCAGAGTTTTGGAGGAAATTGCTTATTGATAAAGAGGGCTTGCTATTGGATAATGGGTTGACGAAAGCTGTGGAGGCTTGGTATCGGGTTGCAAGAGGACTCAAGCGGGAGGGTTGGTCAGAGGAAGAACTAGATTTTGAAGGACAAACGATTTATGTATATCACAGACGTGTTTGTAATGATTCGTCTCTTGAGCTTCCCCGGCCACCGCCCTATGATGGCGCCCAGAATACCGTGAATTAATCTCGCCCCGCCTCTCCAGTCACTGCCCAGTCGCCACCTCCAATTGGAATAGGCCCCTCTGTCCCCACCCCTCTGTACCTCGTCCTCGGGGCGGAAGGAACCTATTATTACCTCTCCCGCCTACCTCCACACTTCCCATTATTCCGGTCCCTCTCCCACTTCCCTCTTCCACTTTCCCTTGTCGCTACTGATGCCGTCCCTCTGCTACCTCCCTCCGTCACTTCTTCCGACATCACCCCTCTCCCACCTTCCCCTGTCATTCCTCCTATTCCTGCTCCCCTCCCACCTTTACGTGTTGCCTCCCCTGACGCCCCTCTAATTCCTCTCCCTATCGTTACTTCTGCTCCTGTTCCCCTCCCGCCTTCACCCGTTGTTCCCCCCGTCGCATCTCCCTCTGCCATATCCCCTTCTTCCCTTGCCATTCCCTCTACTCCTGCACCTTCCTCTCCTCTCCCCACCACCCCTTCTGTCTCCGTTCCAGATTCCACTCCTCTTCCCACCTCCAATCCTGTTGTCCCTCCCTCTTTCGATCTTTCGTCACTCATCTCTGCCCTCTCCGCTCATCTCCCTCAGCCTACTCAGCCCGCCCCCTCACCCAGTCCGGCTCCTGTCTCCGCCTCCCTCATGGCAACTCCCAGTTACCCAATCATGATCGTTGGGTCGAATGAATCTACCGTGTCGGGACAACCTCATGCTGTAGGCGCTTCTCCTGCCGCATCAGGCTTCCATCCCACTACCTCCCAGTTAGTTACTCCCCAGGCCATTGCTGTTGGTTCTCCTGGCTCTGATGCTCCAGCCGCTCAAGCCCCTAATTCACCAGATGTTGCCAGCTATCATGGTCTCACATTCCCGGTTCCCCCCGAGGATGACAATGTGCAGGGGCTTAGTCCATTCCGTCCTTCGAATAATAGGGTTTCACAGAGACAGGCCACCCCAGCCAATCACATCCCTGCTCTATCAACAGTGGTAGGGGCTCCCCCGATGTATGTTACTTTCAACCCATCCCAAGCTGCAACCTCCCCGACCCTGAGAAGCAGCCCATGCACTTCTTCCGGAGGGTTGCCCAGATTCGTAAGACATACTCAGCAGCCTGGTGTGATCTGTATAGTCTGTGTGAGATCAAGGCTGGGGATGCCTATAGGTCCATTATGGAAAGAAGTTTTAATGATGCTCTCCTCACTACCGATATGGATTTCCAGTCGGGTATTACATTATGTGAACAGCTTCGGGCCTGGGCCCAGGATAAACTAACTTACCAAGCCACTTGTATAAATTACATTATACAAGACAAACTCGAATCTTTGTAAAAATACTATTCACGGTTGACTCAAACTTTCTCCGATCTCGGATTCAGTGTATACAACAAAGCACATACCCAGATGTTATCCGCTGCCTTTGTTGCTGGCCTTAAGGAAGCCATCAGGAAAGGCTTAGTGCTCTCTCGCCCCGAATACAGAATTATTCCTTTGGAAACTCTCTTACTAGTTGCCAAGGGCCTAGAATCTGCTCTACAGCCACCCCAAAGGAAAAGTAATCCTCTTATGTTTTCCATTTATAGCCCTGCCACCAGACCCGCCCCGGTCCCCCCAGGATATCCCGCGCTATCTACCCTGCCAGCTGCACAGGGGCAGCACATGACACCCACCCTTAGGCCTCAGACCAGGGCATGCTTTAATTGTAACCAACCAGGCCATTTCCAGAGAGATTGCCCACATCCCAGGGTGTCTAGACAGCCAACCACTAGACCACCTAATCCTGTGTTCAACTATCCCATGTACCCCAATGCCCCTTCAGCCACGTATGGTGGTCTACAACCAGGTTACCCTCCACAGTTATATCCTCAGGCACATACTTCGTATTACCCTCCTCAGGAATATGCCCAAGCTGTTTACCAGCCCTCTCCATCTAATACTCACCCCCCCTGCAGCTATGCTCACCCTTCCCCTGGTAGTTACGATAGAGGTGATTTCCAACATGATGAACGCCCTACACCCAGTTATTATTGCCCTACACATCCAACCCAGGCCAGCCACTCCACCACACCCACACATCACTACACTGGCCCTGATCAATCTCATCTAGACCTTGTACAATAGGCAAACCTGTGTCTAACACCCCTGTCATGGCAGTGTCTACAGGGGACAAGGGGGGGCCTCTCGCTACAGTTATCCTTCCAGTTAAGGCTCATCCTACTACCTTTTTAGTTGACACAGGTGCAGCCCGCCGTGTTCTCAGAGAACAAGACCTGCCTGGCCCATCTTGCCTATCTGACACAGATGTTTCTTGTGTAGGTGTCGATGGTACCCCCCGAAACAACCCATAAACTAAGCTCTTGCGGGTTGGTTCTGACATTCTCTTTCAGTTTGTTGTCTCATCCACCTGTCCAATTTACCTTTTAGGAGCAGATGTTCTGTCTCGTCTTCAAGCTTCTATCTCCTTTACTGCTGATGGCCAGGTTCAATTACTAACCCCCCTTTCTTGCAAAGATACTTCCGTTCTTTGCTCTCTGCCCCTACTACTACATATGACATCCCCCACCGCAGAGGTAAGGGTCCCAGACGCCCCCAGTGCCCTGGATAGGGTTCCAACTAAACTTTGGTCCACGGGCCCAGATGACATTGGACGCCTACGAGTCCCACCTGTGGTAGTTACACTAATTAAGGGAGCTAATCCACCATGAAGACCACAGTACCCATTGAAACCTGCACAAGCCCTCGCCACCTCCAAACAAGTTGATAGCCTGTTGGCGAAAGGTGCACTGGTAAAGTGTGTATCACAGTGTAACACCCCTCTATTTTCAGTAAAGAAGAAAACTGAAAAAGGTCAACCCGACCAATACCGTATGGTCCAAGACCTCGGCACTGTTAATGAAGTTACAAACCGCGATACTGCCGTTGTCCCTAATCCACATACACTGTTGTCACAGGTCCCTCCAACAGCTACATTCTTCACGGTGGTTGATCTTGCAAATGCTTTTTTCAGCGTGCCCTTGGATCCCTCTTGTCAATATCTGTTTGCTTTCATACATGATCGTCAACAGTATACTTGGACTTTTATGCCTCAAGCTGCACAAAATTCCCCAAACCAATTTGCCATAGCTATGTCAGCTGTCCTAGAACCCTGGCAGAAGTCCCACCCAGACGTGGTCCTGCTCCAGTATGTAGATGATTTACTTCTCTGTGCGGATGATTTTCCAACTGCTGAACAGAATTCCGAAGATCTCCTTTGTTTCCTCGCTGAAGAAGGTTGTAAAGCCTCCAAGACGAAACTCCAGGGGTGCCGGCCCTCTGTGGTCTTCTTGGGACATTGCCTTTCCCATGACACCCGTCACCTAACGAGGAACAGGGTACTTGCCATTACAAATCTCTCCCTTCCATCTAACCATCTCCTCCACCCCTGCTTTGGGCCTACCTAACTACCAGCTACCGTTCAAACTTTTCGTCTCAGAGAAGATGGGCCATGCTTCAGGGGTCCTTACTCAATCCCACGGTTCCCGTCAGCGCCCTATTGGGTACTTTTCCTGCATGCTAGACCCCGTGGCCAGGGGTGGTCCTCCCTGTTTACATGCTGTTTTTGCTGCCAGTGCCCTGCTGGACAAAACTAATGACTTTATTCTCAGACATAAACTGACGGTTCTTGCTCCCCATGAAATCGCTGCAATCCTGAATCAGGTCCAGCCAAAACATCTCTCATCTCAGAGACATCTCCGCCTTCAAACCTCCCTCCTCTTGTCTGATAATGTTACTTTACAAAGATGTTACTCCTTGAATCCGGCCACTCTTCTGCCACTTCCCAAGGGGGGAGTGCCGCAATACTGGTACAGCCTGGACATAAATCCTGACGTTCACATGGAACTTCAAGTAGGAAAGCCCACAGTTCCACATGATGCACAGCCCGAGAGCTACTTACATTGCACCCTGTGGTTCAGGAACACCCCAGGTCCTGACCCATACTATGAAGAAGAATTATTCAGCCTGGTGTAAATACGCATCACACTGACAGACCTGTTCTGTGACTCCAAAGGAAACATTGTTATCTTAGTCTACCTGCCTATCACATTTATATCACCATTGGGAGGTGGCTGTTCCTCATATCTCTTTCACCAAGTCTCCAGATCTCTCATGGAAAGAACTCAGCCCAATGGCCAAGACATGGAGTACTGCAACTCAAGAACAGCTCTCATTGACGGGGGTCACTAAAAGGATCATAAACTGCAAAACTGTCGGTTACCCTCGATATCACACACAAATATGTGAAGACATCCCTCCTACAGAACAGGACCAGGACGCCCCTCATGATTGCTTTGAACAGATGAAAATGGAAACAACCCATCTCCCAACAGTGCACGAGGCTGCTCTACCTGACCCTGACTACACTATGATTGTGGATGGTTCTAGATTCGCAGATGTGCAGGGACAATATCATACCAGATATGCAGTCACCACAGAGGACCAAATACTCCAAGCATCTTCACTCCCATCATCTAAGTCAGCACAAGAAGCCAAACTAACAGCCCTTGCGGTGGCATGCAAGATGTCTGAAGGGAAGCGTGTTAATCTTTATACAGACTTAAGGTATGCCCTGGGCGTGGCACATGACTTTGGCTTAATCTGGAAAACCAGGGGGTTCCTTACAGCAACAGGTACTCCTGTGAAACATGGCACAGCTATCAAAGAATTGATGGATGCCTTACTACTTCCTGAAGAGGTGGCCATACTGAAAGTAAAGGCCCACGGGAGACTGAATTCAGAAGAAGCACATGGCAACCATTTGGCCGACCAGGCCGCTAAGGATGCGGCACGCCAGTGTCGGGAAGTGAACAGAAGAGTGTTGTCAAAAAGACTCCTATTTACACTATGCAAACCTTACCCACCAATCTCAAGCTCCTAAGAAAACAACAGGCCGCCGCCACCCCTCAAGAAAAACAAAGCTGGAAAGACAAGGGAGCAACCCTCCAGCATGAAGTATATACAATCAACCTCAAATTCTGTCTACCCAAGAATATGTATCCAGCTATCGTTCAGTGAGCCCATGGACCAGCTCATTTATCTAAGCACCTCATGAACTCTTTGATAGATAAATATTTTGAAGCACCCGGAATCACCACCTTGACATGAAATTACTGCAGATCCTGTACCATCTGCGCCAGATGTAATCCAGGGAAAATAATTAAAGCTGCAGCAAACCATTTGGACAAACCACAGTACCCTTTCCAGAGCATCCAAATTGATCATATCCAAATGCCAAAGAGTGGCCGGTATGAATACGCACTGGTCATATTGGATATGTTTTCAGGATGGCCAGAAGCTTTTCCTGTCGCTAATCTCACTGCAAAGACCACAGTGAAGCGTCTACTTACTGAAATCATCTGCAGATACGGAGTTCCTGAGGTAATCAAAAGTGACCAGGGTACATCCCTAACCAAGGAGATCTGGGGATGACCCTTGCATTCCACACACCCTATCACCCACAGAGTAGTGGTAAGGTAGAACGCATGAATGGCACTCTGAAAGCCA